TGTTAAGTAATCAAATGCCAAGTGGCATCTTTGGTTTCAATTTAGAAGAATATAATTTCAGACAAGTTAGCACAATACTGAGTTGCTAATTCAAATTTCCTTTCTTTTCAGCAAAATTATTTAAAGGTTCTGGTATTTAATCCTCAGGCGTACTTTTTTTAGAGGGCAACTTACACTGTTCAAAACCACCAAGAAAATAGTAATTTTAGAGTATATCTTCTACTCAGGGAATATATCAGGCTTCTTTACATCAACTTTTTCAAATTAAAGTAATTTGTATACCATCTTCCCAGTCTCTGCCATTTCTACACACCAACACAAGATATGTTCATGATTACTTCTTTCCATATCTAGGTACCACCTGTGCTATTATTTACTTAGTATATTTTATTTAAATTAATTCACTTTTTAAATGTTAATATATTTCTTTAAAAAGGAAAACTTATGTTCCTGCTGTAAAAGACAAAGCAGTACTACAATGAGATCTAAACAATGCTCACTGGATGTTATTACCTACAGAAGGCTCTGAGACCGAGGCCTGTGGAGGTATTAAAGACCCACTGGTACCAAATTAAAATGTTCTCCTTGACCTGATCAGAAGAACTGAAAAATAAGTGGCAAAGGAGTACCTTCCTTTTCACAAGATTTGATGTCACTCAATGCCATGTCTTGATAATACCTAACATAATCTCTGATATCAGCAGAGATAAGAGTGTCACCCTGAGACAAATATTGCCTTAGGCAAGAACAGCCCTCTGCACTACTTCAACGGAGGTGGGCAAATATATCTGGGTTCTTGAATCCACAAAGAGCTTCCCTTTTTTTACCCCCATGCCTTCTCAACATTGTTTATCTAATGACAGGATTTCAATTACTTGAGCCTCAGCATTTTCAGTGGTTTCCCATGAGAAGCAGAAAAAAAATGTGTTGCAAACAGATACAATTTTTAGATAAATATCTGTTTCAAGAAAAGCTTTGATTATATATTCTCCTAGCTTTCTATGTTAAAAAACCGAGAGGAAGACAACAGAATTGAGAGGATATATAGTCTGCTTGACAATAACCCACACGTAGCCAACAGATTGATAAAAGGAAGGATAAGTAGGGGCCACAATTTAGCTGAGAGTATAAAAGGATGTTCTACCTGCCACATACAACAGTATTTCCAGCCACAAAGTATATTTAATTCATAAACACAGCATTCTTTTTTTTTTTTTTTTTTTTTGAGTTGGAGTCTCACTCCGTTGCCCAGACTGGAGTGCAGTGGCCACTCCCGGCCACTGCAGCCTCGACCTGCAGGGCTCCGGTGATCCTTCTGCCTCAACCTTCCAAGTAGCCAGAATTACAGGCATGCGCTACCATGCCCGGCTGATTGATTTATTGTAGAGATGAGGTCTCGCTGCCCAGGCGGGTCTCGAGTCCACGGGCTCAGGCAATCCACTCACCTCAGCTTCCCAAAGGCATGGGATTACAGGCTGAGCCACCAAGCCTGGCTCACAGCATTCTTATATTATGTGACTGATCTAATGTGACCATGCTGGGCAGGGCCCTGGTTGTAAGTAAGGTGACGGCATTGATAAAAGAAGGTGAGAGAGGTCTAATGTCAAATTCTACACATTGGAATTCCAAGGAACACACTTCTAGACAAACTGGGTTTTGGAATATACTCCCGGATATGTGACTATATTTGAAAGGAAAAAAAAAAAAAGACAACAAACTCCTAGTAGACATGTGCTAGGGCAAGATACTATGGCTCCAATTACTGGGTATAATACTTCATATCAGCAACAATGGAATTTAATTAATAAGCAAAACAGTCTTCAACAGAATTTTGGTTTTAGAATATACAAATGTAGTATGACACTAGCTAGCTGAAAGAATAGTCAAAGACAAGATTCTGAAGATGAATAGGGCAGGAAAAGGGCTAATCTTGTTAGACGATGAAATGGAGGTATTAGCACAAATTAAAGATAACCCCTAAAAGGATACTTTTTGAAATAATTAAAATCAAGTAGCAGAGATGATGGCTGGAGATTAGTGATAGGAGAAATTGGAAGTAGAACGAGGGAGAGTGGAATAAAAGGAGAAGAAATAAAAGCTTTACAGAAAAGAAATGATGGAGAGGACTCGAGCAAATCAAAGCTAGGGAGGCAGGAAGACAATGGACCTGCACCAGTGGACTCATTCGTCCTACTAGACCAAACTGGAGGCAGAGGAAAACTATTAGACCTAAACCATGACAAAGAAAAAGGCAAAGACGGTACTGGGAAAAGAACTGTGGATTTTGATGGAACATGACTAAGGGATATAAGGAGAATCTATATAGAAAGGATAAAGGAAGAGAGGGGAAGAAACATGGATGTCATTAGAGTTCAAACTCTTGGTATATCTCTTTGGGATACTAAAAAACTGGCAAATACAAGGGCACTTGTACCCCTTCCTCTCTCATGGCAGATGTGACAAACTGATCTTGGTGTTGTTTTCCACTGATTACAGATATGGCTTCAGACCCCTACTCAATAAAGCACTTTAGGTAGCCACTGCCAACTGATTTAACTTGACCCTGGTCATAAAACCTGCATTCATAAGGTATTAAAAAACAAAAAAATCGACAAACTCTCTGTGGGGTTTTGGTAGTATCCACTTAGTGACTGAAGAGGAATCAAAAAAGTGTACTTCTGGCTAGAAAGTTAAATGTTTCAGTGTGAGATGTTTATGTGCAGAGACATAATAATCCACATGTATAGATATGAGTAAATATGTACATGAGTAAATATTCATATTTCATATAGGTAAACCCAAGCATCCTATAATTGCTAGTAATCTGCAATTCTGTTTTAGCCATTCATAGGCACATAAAAATCAACTCTCATCATTTACCCTAGCAACTGAAACTGTTACATCAAGTAAAATTTAATATAAATTATGTTTTGAGTTAAAATAGCTCATATAAAACAACAGCCTGTTAGAATAATCAGAGCTTTCTTCTTCCTTCTCTGTCTTATGACACCATATTGGGCCCAACATCTTAAAAAGTTGGCAGAAATACCAAATAGGTTTTTCTTCCCCCATGCATCACACATTTTTTAAAAGCACATATAAATAGTGCAGCATCACATAATAGCATTGAAAATGAGCAGATCATTTAAGGCAAAACTAGGATTTCATCAATGGCAGTAAAAAAGAAACTGCATTCATTGTCAGTTTGAAATTAAGTTGTAAAAAGGGGGGGAGGGTGATGTGTGACAAGGTGTGTCGGTTTCCATTTCCTCCTGCACACACTCATTGATTTCACCTAGCTTCTAAGCATCTGAGGCTTTTGCCTATTCATGCAAAGAGCCACTTGAAGGCATACAATGCCCTCAGATTTTCTCTAGTCCAGGAAAGAGTCAGTGCTTTCTTTGAATTATTTTGTTTGAACATCCTGGTAAGTTTTTCATGTCCTGCCAAACAGCTCATAGTGCTCTGAGGGAGGAGAAGCAGTGAGTTGCTGTCCGGGGTTACCCTTTTGATGACTGTTTTATGAATTAACACCAACACAAAAAGATGCTCATTAGTCTAGGCCGGTCTAGCTGAGATAGAAAAGGAAGAGCGAGAGGAAGTGGGTAGGGCGGGAGGGGAGCAGTGATCTCTCAAGAATCTTTGTGTCCTAAGAGTCTATTGATTCAAATGAATGAACCATTATCATGCCTGTGGACCCTGAAACAGGTTCCTAACTGATCTTCTGTATCAACTCTGCCCCTTCCACTGCAGCCAGAAAGATCTTTTCAAAACATCTCTCTACTCCTGTCTTCCCATGCTTTCCCCTCCATGGCCTAAAAAGGTCCTCATGGTGTGGCCCTGCCTGCCTCTCTGGCAGCTTATGGCAACTCCTGTTCTTCAAACTCCAGGTCCCATTGGCCTTTGAATTTCTTCTTGCCACAGGACCTTGACACAAACTATGATACTCCACCTCCATTCCAATTCCTCAATTTTTATAACATTAGCTCAACTATCTCATATGTCCTAAGGAAGTCTATTCTACATCTGTCTCAAAAAGATTCAGGTCCCCACACTCCACTATCTCCTTTCTTTTCTTTCTTTCTTTTTTTTTGGGGGGGGGTAGGAGTCTTACTTTGTCACCCAGGCTGGAGTGCAGTGGCATGCTCGTGGCCACCACAGCCTTGACCTGCCGGGCTCAGATGATCCTTCTGCCTCAGTCGTTCAAGTATCTGGAAGCACAGGCATGTACCCTGCCCGGCTAATTTTGATTTATTGTAGAGACGAGGTCTCATTATGTTACCCAGGCTAGTCTCAAACCCCTGGGCTCAGGCAATCCTCTCGCCTCTGCCTCTCAAAGTGCTGGATTATAGGCGTGAGTCACCGTGCCCAGTTCCACTATCTCCTTTCAAAGCACTCTTCCTTCATCAGCAATTATAACATTTATAATTATATATTTATGTGATTACTTTTCTGATGGCCTCACTAAACTGTGAGCTCTGTGGGGCTACAACAGTGACTTTTTCCTGTCTACAGTACCTTGTACACACATATAGTAAGCATTTGCCAAAATTGTGTTGAACCATTGAATTAAGGTATTGTGTTCAATGTGACAAAATGCTTTGCTAATATATTCATAACTGAGGCACAGAAAGATTGTGAAAAATTTTTTATATTGTAAACCAAATATTATTCAGAAAATATAATAAAACAAATTTATACGAAACTGTCCTGCACATCATTTTGAAGAATGGGAGTTGTGATTAAACTCTCTAAACTAAATACCTAAAGCCTCTAGAAAGGAGACTGTTTCTTTAATTTTCTTCAGTTCTATGCTTTGAAGGAAGTAGAATTCTTGTTATAGCTGCCAAATGTAGGCAAGTCATCTAGTTTGAAAAATAAAGAAAGCTTATGTCTTCTAGAATCTTCTGGGGAAACCAGACCTTTACCTTGGAGTTGGCCAAGATAGGACCAATAGCAGCAACCCTCTGTGAGATGATCCATGGAGAAACATAACTTACGTTGGTTTAGAAGCCTCGGCCTGGTCAGTCTGTAGTTTCTCTCCTCCTTCCACCTCCATTGTGCAATATACAATGCGGTTTGGAGCCAAGGATTTGAGGCCTTGGACTTCCATGATCACCACCTAAAACCAGAATCACATTTAATAGAGGTTATTGGCAATGCCCACCAGGGAAGCACCACCCAGAGGAAACTGAGAAGAAGTTAAAAAGAAACCCAACAGGTATCCGATGACCTCTATCGGGTTTTCACCACTCACATTGGGGCCAGTCTAGCATGAAGATGAGATTCATCATAGTGCAGCTTATTGCCTCCCAGATGGAAAGAGAAGGCTCACTAATTCAGATGCTCTCAGGGATCAGGCAGGCAATGTAAAATGGGCTACTCTTTCCATGTTAAACAAATAAGATTGCTTTTTATTTCCACCAAGAAATAGGCTCTCTCCTATTTTCTTAAAAAATAGTCTGTCTTTTGATTCAACATTTAACAGAAACACAAGCTCACGAATTCATTTTTTTATTCTCAATAAGATACGCAATAGTGCAAGTACTAAGACAATGAACAAATACCATTTGGCATTAGAGTCAGAGATGCATCAGGGTGTAGTGGGGACTTTGGCAAACTGGAGAGTACATGCTCTATCTAAAAGGAACAGCTACCGTTGCAACCCATTGTTGTCTTTTCTCAGTTTAAAGGTATCAGATACCCCAATTTTTCCTAATTTTTCCTACTAGAAAATGAAAAAACGATATCAGAATCATTCAGAAATCTGATTTTGAAATACTGACAATGATCCAAATAGGGAAGAATAAAATAACACAAACTCTGTGCAGGCCAACAGTGTTGAGTCAAAACAAAAGCGTGTCTGTGGCTGTAGGGTCTCTGGTCTAGACTGAGGGAAAAGGCTGGTGTCATGATGGAGCAAGATGTATCATTTACAATTTCTGGTACTTCCCACCACCACCGCAAACTCCATTTTTTTGCCCACTATTTTGATAGTTAGCAGTATGTCTTGTCATGAGAAAGAGGGGAGGAGGAGAGGAGAAAGAAGAAAAGGGAAAAAGAGGAAAGAAGAGGGAGAAGAAGAGAGAGGAGGGAGGGAGGGAGGAGAAGAGAGAAGAAAGAAATTGATTAAAAAATCTGAAACAAATGACCTACATCAGAGATCTACAATGAGTAACATATGTGAAGAAAAAAAAAATCAAGTTGCACTTTGAGTTGTATTCCAAAAGAGGCAATGGCATCACACAAGAAGAATATGGGTGTGCAAAAATTGTATACTTCCTTAATGGGCTAGATTCAAGGAAGTACAACAAGGCTAGCTTTAAACCAGGACTCCACAAGGCACTGTTTTGCTGCTTAGTAGCCTACTGGTTCTGGAACTTAATGTGAATCAGAATTACTTGTAAGGCTTGTTAGACCAGAGATTACTGGGCTCCATGACCCCCAGAGTTTCTGATCAGTAGGTCTGGGTAGGAGCCCAGGATTTCGCATTTCTAACAATTTCCCTGGTGATGCTGATGTGGCTGACCCAGAAGCTCTACTCTACTACTCATGACATTCAGCAAAGGACTTGATATTCAAGTCGCTTCATTTTTCTTTCAGATCTTCAGGGCCTCAGTTTTCTTATCTGTAAAGTGGGGTAGTAATATGTATCCTGTGTCTGTTGTGTGATGATCAACACTGGGAAGAACCATACAAAAGTAAAAAAAAGGAAGGCATAATGGAAAGAGTACAGCTTTTGAAATATAAGAGATCTTACTTCAAATCTTAATTCTGTATCATCACTGGCTGTGTGAACATTTGCAGGTTTCTCTATTTTTAAAATATCACTTATTATTTTATTGATATTTACATAGATTATGCAAATTCAAAGTCAGACAAAACAGAAATTTTGATGTGATTTTATTTCATAGATAGTTATGCTAACCTGTTTATAAATTCATTTGATTAACAGTAGTAATACGCTACTTATGACAGTAGCACTGAGATTTTTTCTTCAATCTTTAAAAAAAATTTTATTTTAGAGTTGTGGGGTAAAAGTGAGGATTTACTATACAAGTAAGTTACTTGCAGGTGAAATTTGGGCTGCTAGTTGGCCCTCTTTCCCCCAGTAGTGGACCAGGTACCCAGTGTGTTGCCACATACCCCTGCTCCATCCTCTCTTCCTCCCTCCCCTAGCAGTGTTCTGCATCTGCTGATCCCATCCTTGTACTCCTGTGACCAGCAATCAGGGCCTGCTAATGAGTGAGGACATGTGGTATTTTATTCTTTGCTTCTGTGATAGTTTACTTAGTATGTGGTCTTCGGCTGCTGCATCCACATTGCTGCCAAGACCATGATTTTTTTTTATTCTTTATGACTGTTTGCAGGTTTCTTAGCCTCTCTGAGGCCTTTATTTCCAACATCAGCAAATACCTCAAAAGACTGTTGAGAGGATTCACTGTGTGAATGATGTTAATACACCTGGCCCATAGTGGCACACAACAAACTCCTGATGCTTTTCATAAGAGTACTTTCCCTGCTCAAGGCCATGCCCTGGAAACCCTGGGCCTCTGTTCCCTTGATGCAAAATTAAGTGCTCTTTGGTATCTCCTCTAGCCATCTACAACTACATCTAACTATAACTACATCAAAAACATCTCGCACCAACCTGCAAATTCAAATCCGAGTCTGCCCTGATGAGATGACAATCCTCTCCCTGTCTCTGCTTGCCTCCCCTCGGTACAGATCCCAAAACACATTCACAAATAGATGTGCAACAGCTTTTGCTAGCAGTTTTGCTATGATGTGCAGTTTGGTGTTCTAATTAAAAAAGTATTTGGGAATCCTAGGACATTTCATTCTGTACTTGTATTTACAAGTCAAATCGTTTGATTCATGTACACATGGGAGTATGAACTTGCCCACATCTATATTTCAGAGTCAGCTGCACAATACTGAGTGCTGATGAAGAGTTCAAAAATTACAGATTTAAAAGCTTCATGAAAATCAATAAGCTACCTTTTCCTTCTTTCTGTAGGAAGACAAGAGACAGTAAGGAATAAATTGACACTTTTAATTGGCAATGATCAAATCCAGACACCTAAGAAAATGCATTCAGTAAGGCAGGTGGCAGTATAAAAAAAACCCAGAAAGTTTCTGTGAAATTACACTGATGATTTTTCACACACCAAGTGCTCTATATTTAATTGAATATTGCCTCTTCTGACTGCACAATACATGTCGAAAACACTAATGTATCTCTATCTGAACTGAGCACAGAAAAACAAATTACCTGCAGATAATTCACAGCAAGACTTAATGATGTTCTAGAAAATTAATTTAGTCTTTATAAATTCTAATTAAATGTGTTGAAATTTGATCTCTTCTCTTGGTTTCCCCAAATCTAGGGTCATCAAAAAATCCTTATGGGGTTTTTCACTTTAATAAGTTGTGAGAGGTTCTCAAACGTTGTAGGACATAAGAGGCACCTGGGGGAGCTTGCTAACCTATACATATATTTCAGGGCTGCACCTTGCCTGGAGTTTCTTTTTTTTCTGCCAATTTTATTGAGGCATGTTTTACATATCACATAATTAGACAACTTCAGGTGTATAATTCAGTGATTTTTAGTAAATTTACCAAGTTGTGTTTATCACCATAGATTAGTTTTACGACATTTTAATCTCCCCCAATAAGATCCCTTATGCCCATTTCTACCCCCTTCCCCAGGCAACACTAATCAACTTCCTATTTCTATAGATTTTTCCTCAGGGGATTTCATATTAATGGATTCAAAATATGTGGTGTCTTGTATCTGGCTTTTTTCACTAAGCATAATATTTTTGAGGTTCATCCATGTCATAGCATGTATCATTAGGTTGCTCTTTTTAATTGTCAAAACATATTCCCTTGTAAGAATATACCATATTTTGTCTATTCATTTACTAGGTAATGGATTTTTAGAATGTTTTTGGCTATTAGGAATAATGCTGTTATAAATATTTTCAATCAAGTCTTTGTGGAGACGTGTTTTTATTTCTGTTGGGTAAACATCTAAGAGTGGAGTTGTTGGATCATATTGTAGTTTTATGCTTAACTTTCTGAAAAAACACTAACCTATTTTCCAAAGTGACTACACCATTTTATAAGGGGGGACCCCCCCAAAAAATGGAATTATTTTTTGGAGGGCGGCCCCTTGTAAAACAGGTATCCCCTGCCAGGAAAATGTTCTTGGGATCCATTAGCATCAGTGTATTAGCTAGCATTGTTAGCATTGTTGTGAGAGGCTGCAGTCAGCACCAGAGAATTTTTTGGGGGAGATTTTTTCAATGTATTTGCCCATTTCATGACAGGTGATTTACAAGTGTACTTGTCCACACTATGTTGAGTGTTCAGTAGTTTTTAACCAAAACCAGTATGTCCCCTATGCTGCATCCTCCTTATTCACCCCAAGCAAATTTTTTTTTGTTTCCCTGGATGAAAAAAGTCCTCAAAGGGAAACGTGGAAAAGGTGAAACAAAAAATGGCAGAAGCACTAAAAGGCATCAAAGCTGATAAGTTCAAAAACTGTTTTGAGCAGTGGAAAAGGTGTCTCCATAGGTGTGTTGCATCAAATGGAGAGTACTTTGATGGTGACTGAAGTTTATACACATAAGCATAAACACACAATTTTTTACAAAAAAAATTCCAGTTTTTTGGGGTCCGCCTTCATATATTCCCATTCTCTAGATATTCTAGTTCTGTAGGTCTGGGTGGTGCCTAAGAATCTGCATACTGAACCAGCTTCCCAGGTAATTCTTATGTAAGCAGATCAGAATCACTCCTTAGATTTTATATATACCAGGGGCACCAAAAACGGTACACACATTTTAACAGACGTTAAGAGATGTTTGTGGTAATCAGAAGTATCTGGATGCTGGTAGTAACCACTTTGAGCAATTCCTGTAATTGCAGAAGTCAAATGTGACTTGTATTCATCTTATTGAATATTACAATTTGAATACAGTTTTTTCCTTTCTTAAGATGTAGATACTTTTTTTGGCACCCTCTGTATATACATATGTGTATATATGTATATACACATATGTATATAGAAATATAAACACACACACACACACACATACACACACACACACACACACACACACACACACACACACACACGTATATGTATGGGTTTTTACTTTGGATTCAGAGATAAACTAAAAAAGGCTCCACCACAAAAAGAGACTCTCTAGTGTGTAGCCAACAGGAAAGATGACAGAAAATTTACAACTCATCATGAAATGATGCTACATTACCTCTCTCATAATTATAAACAGATTGCCAAAATTTTAAACTTTCTAAATTGCATAAGGTCTTTACAAAATTCTTGAGCATTGCTTTAAGTCAGGGAAGGTAATACAAGTTTAAATTTAGTAGGTGGTTCTTAAGATTGCATTTCCTTAAGAAAAATGTAGGCTCTTGAAGATGGGAATCACTTGCTGATTAGCTGACCTATGCTTAGCAAGCTGTTACTTTAATAACTACTCCTGAGGTACAAGGGGAAAAACAAGTTGATTGTAATGCATCTAATCACCCATATCCTGCTTGCTGTGCCAGGAAACTTTCAAGGGCTTAGGGCTTTTTACCTCCAAGGAGAAAGACAGCACGACGTCTGACTTGGAGAGCTGGTTCTCACTCTCCTCACCCATGTCGATGATGGAAGCATTGTGGCTGCGTTTGAGTTTCTGCAGCTTGAACTCCCCGCCTTTGGACACTGGCATGCTCTCCAAGTTGGCCATTAGCAGGTTGACAGATGACTTCAGCTCCTCAATGTACATGTTTTCCATTTCTTTGGATACAAACTTGGGAAATTTGCGTTCCTTGTAAAGAAAAAGAAAAATATGAGCAGAGAAGTAAACAGAGACCTGATTTACATAGAAGGTTTTTGTCTCCCAGCCCAGAGTGATGGTCACATCTACTACCAGTGAAACTTGCCCATATATTGTGGACTTATGCTAGAAAGATGTTGAGCCTAGTTAAGTAGATAGCTGCCTGCCTCCTAGTTATTTATAAATTCTAACAGGTAAGAAACACATACATAAACATATAGTAAGAAAGAATGAAATGTTTTATTATAGTTCTATTTTCCCCTCAGTTTTCTCCAGCAAATCTGATTTGTGGAAATAAGAATGGGGTGATATTTTTCAAATCTGGTTTCAGTTCAGTTTTTCTTTTTAGCAAAATGCAGTCAGTTGTTTTTAAGTTATGGAAACAGAAAGACATCCTATTTTTGGATATCTATAGAGATTTTCTCACATGAATAATTCAAAAGGAGCTCATTTGAGATCTTTCAAACATAGTCTGTGGCTATTTCCAAGAAGAATAGTTACCGTTTTCAAGAAAAAATTGAAAAAAATTAATGAAGTGAGGAAAACGTGATTAAAATTCTTTAGAAAAGAAGATGGAGCAATTTAGTGTTAGAACTGACCTCTATTTTTTTCCTTCCTTGCTTATGAATTCAGTTGTAATCACAACATACTCTAGCTATGCTATTTATTTCTCCATACCTCTAAGCTGTCCAGGTACCTGGAATACATTTGGATTGATTGCCTTCTCCAAGAATTATTTCCCACTTGGAACATGAACTTGCCCTCCCCAGCCCCACTCTATAACTGAAGGGGTGAGTAGCAAACCAATTCAGTTAGACTTTTTTGCAGGAAAAATTCAACTCAAACTGGCTTAAAGAATTGATTTGTTTGGCTTGGAAATACCCTGGAGTAGACCCAGCTTCAGGCAAGGCTAGAATCAGAGCTCAGATGCTGTCACCACAACTGAGTTTTTCCTCAGAATCTTGGTTTTGGTTCCTCTAGGGTAGCTCCATGCTCCGTCTGGCTTTCCTTAATGTCACAGAAATATTGTTAAAGATCTGAACCTCACAATATCATATCATACTATTTAAAGGAAGAGTAAATATTTCTTCTTGCAATGTCCATGGAAGATGGAGAATCTTTCATCCCAGAGTTCTCACCCAAAGCCTAATTTAGGAAAATACTCTGAACAAATTTCTATAGTAGTATGCTGTGCTGATTTGCTTAGGCATGAATTATGCCCTCCATCCCTGTGGGTGGGGGTGGAATCCATTTAGAGTCCATGGAACATGAACTGATTTGCCAATTCTGTGTGGCAAAAAATAAGATGTCTAGTACCTGGCCGCCTGACTCAAAGTCAACCAACTAATCCCATTCTGTGACCAGCAGTCAGTCAGATTTATTCTCTCAAGCAATTGAACTAAGAGACATTGGGATTGCAATTGGTTTGTGGAGCTGAAACTGTAAGATTGTGTAGATTCAGGGTTGGCTACCATATTGAATCAAGTCAAAGCAGAAAAAGATACCTGACAAAGAAGAAAGAGAAAGACAAAGAGACATAGAGAGGGAAGGAAGAAGAAAGGTAAGGATGGAGAAAAAGAGGAAAGGAGAGAGAGAATAGAAGAGGGTGAAGAGGTTATCTAGAGTTACAGAAAGGAGTTTGACTTTTATTGGTTTTCTAATTCCCACAGGCCTAATTATTCCTCCTGTATTTCAATTCCTTGAGAATCTATTTTCCTATCAACAATCCCCCTACATACTAGTTAGCTAGAAGGGTGTTTCTTCCTTGCCATCTCAAAGCTTCAGTCAACTATACTATCCAGTTCCTCTATACAGAGTGTGAAGATGCCTTTATTCTATGCCAGTCTCCTTTCTACCTGAAGGCTGTCATAAATGTTGTTCTCCTTTCCCCCAGGATAACTTGCAGTCTTCTTGTCATCTTCCATATGACAACTTCAAAATATCACTTCCCCAGGTTAAGTCCTGCTATTATACTTGCTAGCTCACCTACTTGGTAACACTTATTGCAATGGATTAAACATTTGTGTTTTCCCCACGTTCATATGTTGAAACCTAATCTTCAGTGTGATGGTATTGAAGGTGGGCCTTGGGGAGGTAATTAGATCATGAGGGCCCTCATGAATGGGATTAGTGACCTTATAAAAGAAGCCCCAGGGAAGTTGCTTCTTCCATCAAGAAGAAATAGTGAAAAGATGGCTGTGAATGAAGAAGAAGGACCTCATCAGACACTGAAGCCACTGGTGCCTTAATGTTGAACTTCCCAGCCTCCAGAACTGTGAGAAACAAATGTCTCTTGTTTATATGCCATCTGTGGTATTCTGTTGCAGCAGCCCAAGTAGACTAAGATACTTATAATTATAATGAATGAATCAATTGTGAAATTTGCTTAATGCCTGTCTTTCCTGTTGGGCCATGAATCAGAACCATACCTATCTTGATGCCCTTGTGGAATTCTTGGTATTTAGCATAATGTTTGGCACATAATCACTATTTAATACATATGAGTTGAATGAATGGATCAATGGCTTGTCAAAAATGTTCATATTAAATATCAATGTAGCTAAAACTCAGCTGTGAGGAGGAGGTGGAGAGATAATAAATTAAGTTCTGGAAGAACAGGAAGATTTTGCTTTTCCATGTAAATGAGTATGGGGGTCTGAAATTCACTCAGCAACCTTAGAGTACTGGTTCCTTCTGGAACTTCTAAGTAAATCACTTCCTGCCTTAAGGTTGGGATCAGCCCACGGCATGGTGCTTTCTAAACACACTGTGGGTGAATGTGAAAGGAGAAGCTGGATGGAGCCTTCTGAAATGAGATGATAGATAGGCTGATGATGTTGATAGGCACTAGTAGTGATTCATTGCAAAAGAATCCTGAAAAGTCTTTCTTCTCTGAAGCCGCATAGTGGGCTTGATTTTTTCTCATTCTTTAACTTTATCAGGGACAACTGCAAACCTCAGCACTTGGATATCCTTTATGCAAAAGGCCATGATGATGTGAGGGCTTGGCTGCTAGGTCACCATCACCCAGAAAACATTTACTGCCACCAATACTGCTCCTGTCACAGTATTAGGCACTAGGGGGTTAGTGATGAAAGGATATAAATTGTCTCTCTTGAGCTTACAGCTAGAGGTGGGAATGTTTATAAGGGAATATTAAATTAAATGCTGTATAATGAAAGTATAATGATATGTGAATTCTTGAGAGAATCAGGTGGCTTCCCAGAGTTGGGCAATTAAGGACTCTGGGTATATGGGTCTGACAGATAGGGGAGAGTTTTCCACCAGGTTGAGCTGGCTGATAGGACCACTGTTCTTCTCTCCTTCCCGTGGAAAGTATTATAGGCAACCATAAATCCAAGGTCTATATGACTGTACACAGAAACACAATATTTTCTCATCTCTTTTGAAACATGGCCCTTCTGGAGAATGAAAGGACAAGGAGGTAGGTTAACTCTTGGTCTGAGAGTAGTCCCTAGGCCACAATAAAAGCTGCTGAGGAGCAAAGATTACATCCCAAGAGCTTGACTGACCTATACCTTTCCTCCTCATATTGGGGCTCAAATCTTAGTAAACCACATGGTATTTGGTAGTGGGAATTGAGCAAGTGGTCTCTCTGATTTTTACTATCAGTTGCTGACTTACTTGCAGCTGCCAGGGAAATGGAGAGAAAATATAATGTTTGTGAAGTAAGTTTTTTCTTGCTAATCAGCTTTGAGAGATCGTATCTTCAAGTGCAGTTCTTTCTATTATAGCCATCTTTGAGACTCACTTGATGCCTTTTGCCTCTCAGTCTTGAGACTTTTGAAGGAGACCCAGTGGTTACAGAAAACACCATTCTGGTGTTTGTCTGCCAAACTTTATCTAGCAGAATATTGGAAAAATTCAAAGAATGATCACTCCTCCCAGAACTTGGACAGTTCCTAATGACATCATAAAAAGAGGCTCATAAAACTGAAGTCTACAAGGAAAACAAGGCTGTTTTTTTTTTTTTTTTCCTGCTCTGAGGACTTAAGCCTTGAGAGGAAATAGCATTCTGTCAGTCTAGGCTGGGGCGCTTAAGTAGAGTTTTCAGTGGCAGACCTATTACAAACACATTTCAAAGCTGAAGTGCCAAAACAAGGAAAATGCAGTCAGTCGTCCATCTCTATTGCTACTTTCCTAAGCATAAAAATAAATTAGCCTTGACAAAAGAATTGTTTATTCAGATTGCTTTATGAAACACATATACATGGGTGGACACAGTCCTCCAAAGAAAATCTCTGTTGGCCATTTATTTTTGTTTTGGGCTGGTAACATTCCTTAATGGAGATGACCTCCCAAGGACAATGCCCACCAGGGTTATTTATGCTCTAAGGGATTTTTGGAACATCTTGAAAAATAGCATTTGAAAGTTCTAACAGCTCCCCTAGCCACTGGCTTTTCTTTTCTATTTTTGTATTTTTACCCAGAGGATGAATGGGGTGTGTGTAAATGTTGAAAAGCCTACCCCCACTCAGAGAACAGTTCCCTAGACCATAAAGGCTCCAATGATATCCACTGGCAGGTGTTCAGAAGGAGGGATGTGACAGAGAGATATTTTCTAGACAAAGCAGCTCACCAACAATGCTACAGCTATTTAATTCAAACTCAAATATTTCATGGGCTCCTATCATGTGTCAGGTAGTATGGTTATCACTGGGGGTGAGAGAGCCAGTTGGAAAGTTGTGGGGTGATGCCAGAAAGCCACCAATTAGACACTATATAACTTTCAAAACAAGAGAGGTACCCTCAGGGTACAATGAGGCTACCAAGGAACCTTATCCAATTCATGTTAGTGAGACAGATTCAACTCTAAATACTGGGTCTGCCACCTACTAGCCTCAGATTTTAGATGTTTCACCTATCTGAATTCTGGTTTCCACATTTGAAATAAGGATAATAAACCTCATAGAATTATTGTAACAAGTAAGAGATAATAACAAACATGAATATTTTTGATCACTGAGACA